CAATTCAGAAGGAAAGGGACTTGATCGGCAGAGGTCCTAACATCCCCTCCTTTTTGTTCTCTCTCTTTAAATAATAAGAAGAGGTGATTTGTAAAGATTGTAGAGCCCCAGCTGAAGAACTTGTCGTCATTCTATATTTCTTTGATTTTCAGTCTTTCCCAGGATCGACGGACAAAAACAGTCCTGTGACTCAGCTGCTGGGGACCCCTGTGACGACTCAGTACATCCGCGTCCTCCTGCTGGAGTTCAACGGGCAGGCCGGCCTGCGCTTCGACGTCTTAGGGTGCACCCCCGACTGTAAGAACATTAGTTTACTCTTACATTACAGTTTACAAATCTACTTACAAATTCCCCAAAATACAGTTTACTATTGGTCCAAGCCTGCTGTGATACTGTCACCAGAAATCTGATGGTCAATGATGAAACGTTGTTGTTCAACAGATGCAGTCAGCTGCGCCAGTCGGCCCAACTTCAACTTTGCCAACGATAAAATGACGTAAGTGAGACTTGAGATGTTTACACCAAAAATAAAAAATTGCATTGCAAACACACAACTGATGCTCGTGTATCTTTCAGTGTCAGTTGTCCAGCGCGCTGTTCCAACACTTACCACAGAGTGTACGGCACTTCAGTGTATCGTGGGGTATGAGCGGATTTCTTATCACAACTTCTCTACTTTATAAAGCATATGTTTCTTATTAAATATAATTCTCTCTCTGCTGTGTCTCCTCTAACAGGACTCCAACATCTGTGCTGCTGCTATCCATGCTGGAGTGGTGTTGAATGAGAATGGAGGGGACTGCACTCTGCTGAAAGCTCCAGGACAAAACTTCTACGCCGGCTCCACCCGGAATGGCATCACCTCTCTACAGTAAGCAGCAGAGTTTCAAATAAATCCCTTTTTCCTTTCTTAGTGTAACTTTCCTTGGAGGCTAATTCACATTCTTTTCTACAGATATGATGGGAACTACGCTGTGTCATACACTTTTGCAGATGGGGGTGAGTTACATTTATCATCCCTTAAACAAATCTCTAAGCAAACACTTTTTTTATAAGATAACATTTGATATTTGTGCTGGTTTGTATGTCTTTTTTCAATTCATTGATTGCACTGATTTTAAACTCTGTCCTTCAGAGCTGAGGTGTTCAGGGCCCGACTGGTATGAGTTTGGAGATTTCTGCTACAAACCTTTTGAAGACAAAAGGACTTGGCACGATGCCCAGAGGACTTGCAGGGCGATGGGTGCTGAACTCGTTTCCATCCTCTCCATGACGGAGCAGAGCTGGCTGGAAAGCTACCTGTACATGGGTATGTATCTAGACGAAATAAACTACCAAGGTGGTAAAGTTGGTTTTCATAGTGTTGGAAATGAAAATCTTAGGATAAGATAAGATGGAACTTTATTAATCCCTGTGGGGAAATTCAGGAGTTTAAGCAACAACAGAGTGAGTGCGAGAGTACAGTACAGATTCAGACAAGATTAATACAATTACAGATACAATTTAAATGATACACAGGTAAGTAGCTGTTAAAACAAGAAATTAATTAAATGAACATATATACACATCTGAGTCCGGATTGTTAAATATATTTACATGTATGTGTGCAGGTCAAAGTTGGATCCTCCATTAATGCAACATACAATGCACTTACAAATAAATAAAATAAGTGCAAGTACAAAAATATATCAGATATTGCAAGAGAATGATGAAAGTGACAGAAAATTGTACGTAAAGGTTGAGGTGACATTATCCTTTTTTGACACTGTCATCTTGTTAACTTTGGTACGCTTAAAAAAACAACATATGGTAAAAAGCTAATTGAATTTTTTTCTGGGTTGGTCTCTACAGCCACCAGTGACGTGTGGACGGGTCTGACTGACCTGGTTGTGACCGGGATGTTCACCTGGTCTGACGAGCACATGGCGACCTTCACTTACTGGGCCCCGGGGGAGCCCAACAACCACGACGGGTTCCATGAGGACTGTGTGGAGATGGTATACCAGGTACACACCAGTAACAACATTTAATACTACACTTGCAAAGGCACTACTTGATCAAAGTCCTTAATCATTCTTTGCAGGGAATTTTGATGTGAATGTCCTCTCTGTTTCAGACCGGACGATGGAATGACGTGTCCTGCACCGAGCTCAATACCTACATATGCAAAACGCCCAAAGCACACTACCCACTGCCCTCTGTGAAACCCACTGTGTACGGATGCCCTCAGGTGGGGAAAACAAGCCATACATTTGATAAGAATCTTGAATCTATCTTCTCGTGTGTTGAGTAAAGAGATAATCGCCTCTGTAACATGTGTCAGGGCTGGGATTCGTACGGCTACGCCTGCTACTGGATGGAGGAGACGGGCAGGACCTGGTCGGAGGCCAAGGCTTTCTGTGAGGAGCAGGACAGCTTCCTGCTGCACATCGGAGACATGTGAGGGACTACTTGTTATCACCTTTCTTGTATTACCCCCCAACACATTGTACCTTTTGGATACAAATGTTTGCAATCATTTCTAGTGTTCAGCTTTTGAATAATGAGGTCAGTTTCTTTATGATTTATTCTGAATGAACTACTTGACTGAAAGAAAAAACGATTCTGGCGATCCATTTTCCAAGTCAGTATCACAAAACTAGTCTGTGATAAAGGTGGGAAAAGAGAGTTTGGTGAAGAAACCCTCCCCCCCCGAAAATATTTTTCCACGGATGAAAAAGAAAATTGGCATTGTAATTTTTATTTTATAAAAAGCAAATTTGTATTCATGTAATACTCATTTTGGCCCAGAGAGACTGAAGTGCCTGTTTACACACAATACCAGAGGTGGGAACTAGTGGAGTACAAATACTTTGTTGCTGTACTTAAGTACATTTTCTGGTATCAGTACTTTATTCCACTACTTATTTTTCTGACGACTTTTTACTTTTACTTCTTACATTTTAAAACAAATACCTGGACTTTCTACATTTTCAAAACAGGTTTGTTACTTTATTTTTAATCTGTGTTTGGTGGCGTGATCATTATTATTTAGAATCATTGCGTGCCTATTGATTTTAACACGATCCGTGTATCCATCATTTCCTGGTCTTCTCTAAAGAAGAGGGACCAATGAGAACTTTGTCATGTTGCCGTTGTTCAGCATGGAAACATTCATTAGCTAACAATGACATTATTGTTCTATTAATATAAAGTGAGGTCAGGTACTCTTTAAAACAGCTGCTAGTTATGGGTACCTTTTACTTAAGTACATTTCGAAGCCCATACTTCTTTACTTTTACTTGAGTAAAGAAGTTTAGTCAGTACTGCTACTTTTACCAGAGTATCTTTAAACACGAGTATCTGTACTTCTACTTGAGTAAAGGATGTGTGTACTTTTGCTATCTCTGCACAAGACTGCATAAATCCCAATAAGGAAATAAAAGAGAAATGACACAATGAATGGATAATAGTGGCAGATTAAGCATTTGTCATCTTGTAACGACCTGGTTGGCAGGAGTTTGAATGCATCGTCTCTGCGTGTTTCTCTGCAGTTATGAGCAGTCACATTTCACAGTGGCGTTGTCGGGTAAGACTGGTTTCTGGTGGATTGGCCTGCGTGCTCGAGGAGGATCGAGTGGGGGGGTCGACTACATCTGGGACAACGGGGCACTTCTGTCCTTCACCCACTGGGACAAAAATCAGCCAGGTACAGACACTAACACATGCAGATATCAAAATAATTCCCCTATACCATTATACCCATTGGAAAAACACCAATGTGCATTTTGTCTGTAGATAGCAGGGATGGCACCTGTGTGGCCATGACAACGGGTCCGATTGGTGGTTTCTGGGATGATAAGGAGTGCTTGGAGAAACACGCCTTCGTCTGTGAGAAACCCCGGCCCGACATCACCCCCCCCACCAAGGCCCCGACTTTCCCTCCTTCTCAGGGCTGTACCACAAGCTGGACCGCCCTGCCCCACTTCAGAAACTGTTTCAAGGTAAAGAAGGCAGTGGAATAAACACCAAAACCAGGTTATCTGCAAGGTCATTAGGTCGGCTAGTGGGGAAAAGCAACTCAGCACATTAACTCAAGTATTGCCCTTTTGTACACATTAGAAGTTCCACATTTTTACATTAGTATTTTCTTAAGGTAATTTCTTCTTCTAATCCACAACATCTCAAAGGGAAATGTTCTCTAGATTTATTTAAAATCTTAAGTTACCAAACATTTTACAGTTTTTCATCCGTATCTATCCAAATGTTTGTGATTACCTGAAGGATGTTTTGTCTTCCTTTATGCATTAAAAAATGTTTGGCGATTTGATATAATATGATGCATTTAGTAGATTGAACTACTCAACTGTGTATACAGGAGTTAAAATAAGGAAAACCTTTCTACAGCTGTATTAGGAAACACATGTTCGGGAGTAGAATATTATATTATTTTATTATAAATAAAAGTAAAACACTGACAGGGAACATTTTACAACATATCAATACTTTCATATTTTACTTATAATGCATTGGGCCTTTTACTTAAGTGAAGTAGCAGAATACTTCTTCCTCCTCTGGTCAGCACTGGTTATTATCGTCTGATTTGTTGCAGCTCTTCCACAATGTGGACTGGTCCATGAAGAAGAGCTGGGGAGCCGCTCTGGAGGACTGCGTCTCCAGAGGAGCTAACCTGGTGAGCATCCACACCCAGGAGGAGGAGGAGTTCCTGGCTCTGCACAGCAAAGGCACCAGCAAGTGGATCGGCCTCAAGCACAACCCAGCAGAAGGAGGTGTGTGTAGTGTGTGTTTTACAGGAGCTGAAGATAATTGGGGTACAGATAAAGAATACACTCATGACTATTCCGATCGTGTAGGTTATTCTTGGAGCGACGGCACACCTCTCTCACACACTAACTGGGGTCACGGGGAGCCCAACAGCCACGAGGGCCGTGAGGATTGTGTGGAGATGGTGAGCAGCACCAACGGGACCTTCTCTGAATGGAACGATCTGAACTGTGACGCCCACCAGGACTGGATATGCATGATTGCTAAAGGAAAGACCCCCATCCTGCCCCCTGTGCCCCCACCTCCAGTCCCAGGTAAACTGTTCCCACAATGCACCGTCCTTCCTGTCCTGACAAGGTTTTATCCTGGGGTTAATTTACAGCTGAGAAGGCTGTACTACATGATTGAACAATCTGACTTGAATCTGTTATAAGGTAGAAACTAAACCATTGATACGGCATGTTTGGCAACATTTCTATAGAAAGAGATGTGTTTGATTTCAGACTGTCTGCCACTTTAAATCAAGGCTGGTTGATTAATATATATAATGGAATAACTAAATACTTTGTTGTTGAGAACATTATAATTATGGTTAAACAGCAGTAGAGGTGGAGGGAGTAAAATATTGTGGTATTCATATACTGTAGTTGTGTTTGCTTTATTTTAAATGCCAGATCTGAGACTATATATATTTAAAATGTAGTTTCATGCATGTGACACTACTTACTAACACCCATGTTCTAGAAACTTCAGTAGAGTTAACCTCTCAATATTGAAAAATGGCAAAGATTAGTAAGTGTCAGAAATCTCCACTCCATGTGTTAGGCTTTTTGTTATGAGCACATGTGTGTTTTTCTCATCTCCGTCCTCAGCTCCTGATTGTGGCGCTAACCCCGGTTGGAGGAAGAACAACAACATCTGCTACTACTACAACGACACCGACATTGTTGACTTCCACACGGCCATGGGACGCTGCTACGAAGAGAAGGCCTCGCTCGTCTCCATCCTCAACAAAGACGAACAGGCTTACGTCAACACCATGGTGCGTCTCTTTCTCAGAACATGTTGTACCATGTCTCAGTGAAATGTGTTTGGGACACGATGTTCTTGTTTTCAAGGTGGGGACCGGCCAGGTGGCTTCAGCTTGGATTGGGATGAGGATGTTTGGCATCACAGGTGGACAATACATGTATGTGTTATTTGATCTTTACTCTTTTTACCCCTTTCTTTCACAATTAACTACAGCCAGGTTTAGACACTTTTACAGATTGATCCACCTTCTCCGCTTTTTACAATGTAATAATATAATGCAAAAAAAAAGTGTTTTTCAATTTAGATAAAAGAAAAATAATTTAAATGAAAAAAGGGCCTTTTTGCATGTTATCAAATGTAATTCCTTGAAATCTAATGGAGACCCATTTGTTCCATTAGAGAGGACCTTCTCTTTATTAAGTGCACATAAAAAGGTCAACACCAAGGTTTCTTTGTGTGATCTGCACAGGTGGGTGGACTTCTCCCCTCTCACTTACACTCACTGGAGTCCAGGTGAGCCCAACAATGCCAACGGGGAGGAGCAGTGCGTTCAGATGAACCGACTTCAAGGTAAAAAGCTCAATTAATTGGCTGAATGTCACAATATAGATGAGTTTATTTATTGTTATTAATCATTTGATCTCATTCTTGTTAAGGTGGCTGGAACGATGCGAACTGTGGTCGGGCCGGAGCAGGCTACGTCTGTAAGAAGATCCCTGGAGCTATCCACACCCCCCCTCCACCCACACAGCCCTGGGAGGGCAACTGCCCTGAAGGTAACACACACTCTGTGATGGAGGACAACAGCAAATAATAATACCACAGTGCCACAGTGTAAACAAAATACTCAGTTACAAGTTGTTGCGTTTGAAATGATTATTACCACCTAAATGTCTCTCAAAGTAAAAATATGAGTTCTAAATAATAGAGCATTCACATTTGTTTTGTAAAACAACCTGAGCACCGATAATAAGCTGATGATCTAATGGCATATATTATACTTTGACTTTAATGACAATGTTTTAGCATAATTTACTGACTTTATGACTCTTTTACAATATATTACAGCTTTACTTTTTGTATGACATACTACAGAATACAACCAATATTTTAGAAATATACTTTATTACACTTTTCTTTTTTTCACTTACATTTTTATAAATATACAAAACCACATATAGTTCAGTTTACATTTGAATTAAAAACCCATTGAAAAAAAAAGAAAGTACAAATAAAAATAATAATAAAAACAAGCAAACAACAACAGTGACATGGAAGCTTTCTATAATATTTTAACATCATGGTCTGGTTCCAACTCTCAATTTATGGTGTTGTTCATTTTTCTTTTATATTCAACCCATTTTTCCCATTCGGACTCACATTTCCCCTCCTGGACCCTCAATATGTGTGTGAATCTTTCCATATCAAATATTTCCTGTACTACTCCCAGCCATTACTCCTTCGTAGGTGGATCCGCTCTGTACCATGCTCTGGTAATAGTTTTCTTGCTTGCAGCCAGCAGCACCTTAATCAGGTATCTGTCCCCACCCGGTGTGTTTTCCTCTACCAGATTCCCCAAGTATAACATCAGGCCGGTCTTTGGAACCTCATAACCTAATATCCCCTTTAATACTCCCCATACTTCCTCCCAGTATCCCTTCATCTTTTGGCATTCAAAAAAAAAGTGTGTGTGGTCTGCCCCCACCTCGCCGCATTGCCTCCAACATGCGTTCTGTTCGGGGGCAAACCTCCCTTTCATCTTTGGGGTTATGAAGTATCTGATTATGTTCTTCCAGACAAATCCCCTCCATACCCTTGACCCAGTAGTTGAATGCTGCACTCTACACACATTATACCATTCTTCCTCTGTCATATCAATCCCGAGTTCTTTCTCCCACTTTTCTTTTATACATAGAGTTGAATTCCCCCTACTCTCCAACAGAGCTTGATATCCCCCTGCCTTTCTTCCCTTCATCAATCATTACCTTAATTACCCCCATTTTGTTTAGTGGTTTGATCCAGGTTTATTTCTTTTATATAATAATCTCTCACCTGTAAGTATCTAGAGTGGTCGCCCCTTTCCAGATCAACCGTATCTCTTAGATTTAGAAAGCTCTGCATTTCCCCTTTTCCCACCATCCTACATATCGCTGTGATGCCCCCTCGGGCCCATCGCTTAAAACCTGTATCTTCTTTTCCCGGCTGGAATTTATTATCATTTGTTATCCATCTCAAAATCTTTGTCTGTTTTCCTATTTTGTATCTCTTTATTACCGTGTTTAAAGTGAATTTTGTAATACTTTAATACACTTTTAAATTAGATAACTCCTTATGGAGGATTTGATCAATATAGTGAATATACTGATCTCCAGACGTGAGCAAAACTAATTAAATTGGTGGTTGTTGTTGGAGCTGCCTGCCTTCCTTACACATTGATATACATCCCGTCATAATGTTATTGAATCAAAAGTGATTTCACATGCACAAAGCTGATTATACATCCTGAAACTATCTGTGAAACCTGATGTAACTTTATTCTGTTTCTTCACCTCAGGCTGGATGCGTTTCAAGGACAAGTGCTTCATGTTCAAAGGGAAGACGGATGACATTAAGGCCAACTGGTCTTTCGCTCGCAGCTGGTGCAAAGAGCAGGGAGGAGATCTGGCTGTTATCGATGACCAGTACGAGAACGGTAAGCTGGACCTTTGAGGAGGAAACAGCTCCAGGTCTAAGGGACTGCTCTCTGTATTTATACTCTCTCCTCCAGACTTTGTTTCCAGCTACCTGAGGGACCTCAAGCTTCCCACGTGGATCGGCCTGTCGGATCTCTTGTTGGAGAATCAGTACGCCTGGAGTGATGGGGTCAGCCCGGTGCTGTACACCAATTGGAACGACAAGGAGCCCAACAACGCAGGAGGAGCGGTGAGGATCCGCTACAACACAAGTTATTTATAATCGGTGCAAAGCCAGTGGGATGCATTTTCAATCTTTGTAAGCAGGACTAAAACATCCTCTCATGTATATAGATAGATAGCTTGAAGCTTTCTTGTCCTTCTCAACAGGAACACTGTGTGGCGATTTCTCACAACCACCTGGTGACCGGCAGGTGGAACGATGACTCCTGTCACAGGGATCACAGCTTCGTCTGCTCCAGGAAGAAATGTCAGTCAACCCTCCCAATTTCCTTTTGTTTTGCTTGGATAAGATTTATTTGCTTATAGATACAGGAATTACATTTTTTTTTTTTAAATGCGGTTTTACAATCCGTGCACAAATTTTGAATTCAATTATTTATTTATTTTTATATTTTCTTTTAACCTTACTGTACTTTGTGGCATTTTATCTGCTGTGTCATTGCACAATATTTCTCTAGAGCACATATAATGAGGCTGTGGTAGTGAATAGTTAATTCACATGGATCTTACTGTACTTTAGGGCATTTTTATTTGATCCATTTAACATGCTACTGTAATATTCCTATAGGGAGAAATGTTCTATCATGCAGTGTATTGGCTTTATTTCGTTTTATTTAATAATACGGGTTGATATCCTGGACTGTTTTCAGTAGTGGATGAAAAACTTAGATCCTCCATTTAAATAAAAGTAACAATTATACAATATAACAATAAATGCTCCATTAGTCATACTACATGTTTCTTTGTAATTGCATTGGCCTTAATCATTCAGAATGGCAACATGTATGCCTATTAAGCTTTATGTGTGCACAGATTGCCACATAAACAGTTTTTCTATAATGTTACTCCAAAGGGTTTACGTAGAAAACATTTAGGAGCTAAAAATGTCAGTTCAGTCCTTAATCAAATACTTTTATGTACCTGCTTCCACATCAGCGAGCAGCATCAACCCGCCACCCCCGACCGAGGCCCCCTGCCCCACTGGCTACACCTCGTGGTATCTGAACTGCTACAGGCTGGTGGAGGAGCCGGCCACCTGGGATGCGGCTCAGGCGGCCTGCCGGGACGAGGGAGGGAACCTGGCCAGCATCGACATGAGCTACGACCAGGCCTTCGTGGCCGGGGCCGTCCTGCAGGGCCGAGCCGACGCCTGGATCGGACTCAGGCGCAAGGTGCTGACAGGGAGGAAACACACCATGTTGTTGCCTGAACTACCTGCAAATTAAAAACTCATTAAGGACCTACAAATGTGGTTTGATAACCATCTGTGTACAAATAAGAAATAAGTTATCTTAAACACATCCTTGAGTTTTTCACTCAACATGTTTTAGCTGGTGGAGCTAGTATTAACTTCTTCCAGGTTATTTAATCCTTTGGTTCCCAACTTTTTCTAATCTTAACTTTTTAGCCAACAGTGACTCATTTGGCCTTACAGGACGTTGAAGTTATTAAACAATATCTTCATTTGGTGTACCGACAATTTGGAAAATATCTATAACGAATTAGTCTGAGTAACTTGAAGCGTTAACTATTTAACCGGAGCTTATATTTCCTTGAATGCAGGACGACGGCTCCTACATGTGGACAGATGACTGGCCAGTTTTCTTCACTCAGTGGGGACCAGGAGAACCCAGCAATATAAAGGACGAGGGCTGCGTGAGCATGCATGCTTCTCGTGCGTTCCACGGGACCTGGAACGACACCAAGTGTGACCAAGCTAAACCCTACGTCTGCAAGATCTCCCCAGGTTTGTGACTCTTTTTTCCTACTTTTTTCCTCTAGTCTCTCTATCTGAAAACCGTCATTTAGTCTAAAACTTGTAGCCTTGATGATGTAACTTATATCTCCTCACAGTGAAACCGCCGCCGACCCCTGCCCCTGGTGATGGGAGGTGTCTGCCCTACTGGATACCGTATGGCCGCTACTGTTACTTTGTGTACAACCAGCAGCAGGGTTTCTCCTGGCCGGACTCCCTGCACTACTGCCAGGCCGCCAAGGCAGACCTGCTGTCGCTCCACAGCAGAGCGGAGGTGGAGTTCATCAGGAACCTCAATCACACCAAGTATCACAACATATGGATCGGCCTCACGAGGGACCGTAACTGTGAGTGTCGAAACCACACAAATGTGTCTTTCATACTACTTGAACCTGAGCTTTTATTACATGTGAGATATACAGATATACAGTATGTGCACTAACCCTTATGAAACCTTGCTTTTCTAGTTGGCTGGGGCTGGACGGATAAGACGTCTCTGGGCTTCCTAAACTGGGCTGCCGGTGAGCCCAATGCAGCCTTCCACCCTGGGGAGGTGGGAGAGGAGAACTGTGTGGAGATGTTCCAAGACGGAAACTGGAATGACAACAACTGCCTGCAAAAGAGAGGCTTTGCATGCCGCCATCGCCAATGTAAGGATTTGTGTTTTTACATTCTTTTTTTCGACATTTGGGTGGAATACTAAGGAGGCCCGGAAAGGCAAGTTCAAAACACTTGCCTTTCAAACCTGTTTTCTCTCTTGTGTTGATGATTTATGAACAAGTAAAAAAGTGATCCGTGAGTAAAATGAAAGCTCAGCTGGAAGAAAACATGAATGCTTTATTCCCATTTAGAACAAAGGTAGAGGTGCATATCAGCCTCTTGCGACCAACATTTGCATTTCACTGAAAAACATAATATTATCCTGTCAACAACAAAACAAAGAATGAAGGAACTTAAAGATTAGCCTGGCAAAACCTATTTTGTATAACCTGTCTTTATAAAACGGACAAGTCAAATCAAGCAATCTGATTGGTTCTTAGCCGTGATATACTGAGCGTATACCACGGGTAGAATTGTAAGTTACTTTTCACAACAAGTCAGTATCTCTCCGCGTCTGAGAAAAACAGTATACCGTTGGGCTGAAAAGCAAACTGCATGCAGTTTGCTTTTCATACTGGAACAAGAAAGCAGCGGAGAAGTAACGGGGCAGAAGCCCTCCTTTTTGACGCAGCGGTCCAGACATAGACATCAAACGGCAAAACATATTCAGTGTGCAGTTCCTTTGGCATTAGGGCAGGGGTATCTAGATACTTTCTAAGGTTTAACATAATTAATTGTGCTACTTTTAAAGCAAGCAACGATGTTTTCAAATCTGTAATCAAAGAGGTCCGCAAAAACGCTATCGACCAATCAGATTGCTTGATTTGACTTGTCAGTTTTATAAATATATTTAAGCAATAGCTCACGACAGGCCGTGGTATATGCTCATTATATCACAGCTAAGGGGCGTGGTTCGGCCCGACGCGAAGCGGAGGCCTGTCGTGAGCTATTGCTTAATTATATCGTAAACACAGCTGAGAAAACTATTTAACTGAGACTTAAAAAAAATATCAGATTTTATTTTCTTACTTGCCTCTTTTAGCCCCAAAAGAATCCAGAGGTGTGAAGACAGACTGTTAAAGCTTTCATTTGGGTTCTTAAAACATAGAGAAAGAAAATGTGGTAAATGAATACTTACTAAGATTATAATAAGCAACATATTAACAGCTGGTCTGTGTTTAACCATATTTTCAGACTATACAACAGATGATGGCGGGAATCCAGTTTTCCCCACTGATGGTCCAGGAGGCAACAGTAAGTGCAACAAAGTAGCAAACATTATTTTGTTAGTGTTGTTTTTAAATCATTTAGTGTACCTTCAACTGCTGTAACATCTGCTGTGTCTCTTTGTCCAGATGCAGGGGTTATAGTGGGCGCCGTTATTGGAGTCATTCTGTTCTGCAGCTTGATCGCTGGAGTGCTGTTCTATGTCTTCAGTGTGAGAGGGGTTAAACTGAGCGGCTTGAGTCTGCCAACAAGAACAACTGCTACCGTTGATGTGGTAAGTTGTTCATTATCTATGACCTTTTTTTCATACTTTATGACTTTTTTTCAAATTTTCCAACTTACTAAACTATCTACACACTATGACTTTTCTCAACCTTTTCGTCATACTATACTATTCCTTTTTTATTCGACATACTATGAATTTCTTTTTTCGACATACTAACTATAGCCTACTATTTTTGATTTTTGATGTTCAATGTTCCGACATATTATACAAAAACCTTTTTGCTTCATACTAAACTACGGCTTTTTTTTTTTCTTTTACATACTATGCTATGACCTATTTCCAAAAATGTTCGTTACATTATACTATTCATTTTTTCCCCCGACATACTATGAATTATTTTAGAATTTTCCGACATACTTTGCTGTGACTTTTCTTCGACAATTTCATTTCCTAACAGTGGCATCCCTAATATGATATTGTGTTATGTTTTTGTGAAAGTGTAAAAACTAAGTTGTCTTTCTTCGGTTGCAGCCTGCTTTTACCAACCCCAACTTCGGTGGAGAATCGGACACATAAAGCATCATTTATGTTTTGTACAGTTCATTGAAATTCCATGTTTTTGTAAAAAAATCATTGATAATGTCCCTTTTAAGTATAAAGAATGCAATTGGATTCACTTCATTTGTACAGTATATATATATATTGCAATATACTCATAAGATATTAAAACTTTGTTTTCCTATGTTGCACTTACATTTTCCGTGCTCAACTTTTGTTATGTCTACAATAATTCAGTCATTTTCCTGTTCATGAGTTATTTACTGACCTTTACAACCAAATTGTGTAATCTTGTTTTCTTTCTGAAAATAAGAGTAAGCAGTAATAAATTATAAGTTAACAAATGATTTCCAGTGTTTATTCATCCCTGCAAAAAAAAATGTTTTACATATTTTACAAAAAAGGGAAAAGCATCCTTCAAAACCTTTTCTGAACAATTTCTCAGTAAATAATTATTTGGACGAGAAGTGTAAACTGTTGCAGAGTAAATCATAAACAATGGAAGATGATGGAAGGAAAGCCACAGGTTGGAAAAGACATGAAAACATCTGAAATGCTTCTGTGCAGTGTCGACATCTGCAGTAAGAAACACTCAAGATCATTTCTCCTGCTGATGACATAAGGCCAAGGCACTAGTGACCTTGCTCCGTATTTTAAAAAAAATTCGCTACACGTTATGCAACAATGTAAATTCATGAACACTTTGTGATCCTTGTTTAGCCCTTTTTGATGTGTAATTGCACACAGACATACAAACTCAATTAACTGCAAAACGTTTCAAAATGTGTAAATCAAAAGCAATGTTTCTTTTACTGCATCACCATTACATACTGATTATTTTAGTATCCCTTTTAAATTGTCATAACAACAACACCACCTCAATAAAAATTTGAACCAACAAAACTCAAGCTTTATTTTTTTAGAATCAAAGTTACAATAAACTAGAGTAAAGACTAGCACAGTCCTGCCAGTCTTTGGGATCAAGTTGTTCTTATGTCCAATAACGCTCTGAAATTAACAACAAATACTCAACAAAGTGCATTCTGTAGTAAGCTATAGTTTGGCCTTTTATTCTACTCGCACACATTTAGTAAACATATTGAAACTCAACATTTGCTAATCAACAAACGTGTGGGAAACCGAGAAAAGCAGCTTCCTGGTGCAAAAACAAATAAAGGGAACACTACTGTAGTTTCATCTGTTGAACAATGTGGCAGTCCCACTATACTTGAAAGGTAACTCAAACTCGGCTAATATCAACCACTACTTCCAACACTAGAACTAAAAAAAAATGCAATATGTAAAACGATTGCCCCTTTTTTTGTTCTTGCAATGTTTACTGTACCTAATGCTTGTATAACTTACATTAGTGGGCACAAGTGCAATTCTTTTACCTGGGTGACAAGAATAAAATCGAGCCTGCTGACCTACTAGTCAGTAATTGTCATAATCAGCCTGAGAAAGATGGCAAACCACTTCTGATCCTGAGCCTTAGCCATCATAATACAAATCCTTATTATTCATGCTCAGATGTCTCTTTGTTTTGGACAGCACTCACGCTGTATTCATTCCTTTATTAAACTCATACTGTATTAATCCCCACTGATTTGTAGGGGAAATACAATGCAGAATTCATACTGATTCATTTTGAGAGAAATTCAATAACAATTGTGATACATTTAAATAATGATTTTAGTGCCTTATAGTGACATTCATCTTTAACATTAATAAAAGTTGTGATCATGAACATGATTTGTGTCAGGACTTGCACGAGGCTGGGGCTGCCACCAAACGGCAATTTTGGTTACATTCGATGTGCTCCCATCCAAATGTAGTTAAGGTCACAGCTGAATAAATCAATGATTCAAACACATGAACTGATGAAGAGGAACAGGAAGATACACCGTGGGTACGAGACATGAAGTGTGTGTATAACCACAGATGTAACATGTTCATAAAAGTGCCGTAGAGAAAGAGAGAAAACAATAAATAACAAGTGCATTGATCAGTGGTGTATTCTCAGGGACACACCACATGAGATGAGACAACGTCCATGTGAAGTAAAGAAGCCTGGCACAAGCCTGAGGGATAGTCCAGCTCAGAGTGTGACACACTGAGGCGAGGTGAGGTAAAGGTAGAGAGGGGCAGCACAAAGGGTTTGCAGGTACTCTTTGACGAGAGCAGGTGGATAGTCAGTTTACCTTTTGGCTGTCCAGCCTCAGCCAGTGGACGCCCTGTCTCGTGTAGCGCACCACAGAGCTCATACTGGAAGTTAGGCTCAATGCACCCATGACTGAGTCCAGCTCTGTCAGCAAACCTGAAACATACAGAGATATTCAAAACATCACAATTCATTAAGATGCAGTTACAGATTTTTTTCCAGGAGTAAAATGTGTTTTTATAGAATATGAAAAATAAGTCATAATATAGCATATTGAAAATGCTGGAAAACAAAAAAGTCCAAATTGAAAAATGTTGTTTAAAAAAGGTGTTAGTATAGCATCTTAAAAATATAATGAAAAGCATTCATAACATAGAATGTAGAAAATATCCCAATAAAGTCAAAATATCAAGAAGTAGTATAGCATGTTGAAACGTTTGAAAAAAGATCACAATGTATTTTGTTAAAAAATATGGAAAAAGTCATACTTTATGCTTTCATGTTTCCAGTCTGTTTTTCGTATATTCTTACCGCTGCCTTTCTGCGACAGTTCCTCCGCCTGGTCCCAGATGTCATGAGCGCTTAAAACTAATGTAGTGATGTTGACGTAGGTTAATGCCACTTGTCCAATGGCCTGAGGAACCGTCACAGTGCTGCCCACAGGGTCCACACCCGACCCGCTGTGGCCGGAGCCGGGACCAAAGCTGCTGGACGTGTTGGCTGGAGAAGGCATGTTGGGCATGTAGGACGGGGTGTGTGTGACTCTGAAACAACACCAGTAAAAATATGTGAACTTTTGATTACATATTACAGCTTGGTGCAATACACCTAAAAAGAGAAAGTACCATCCAAAGTAGATGACTTACTTTGGTGTTAAAACAGGAGGATCGCGAGTTGTTGAGTTCTGAAATGTCCAAATTTAGAGGGCAAATGTACAACTATAATTACATAGCGACTACTTTTCCAACTCTGTACAAACATGGAATAACATTTTCTTTTATTTAGATATGACCTAATCAAATTGCAAAACAATTACAATGGCATAAGAAATGAATATGTAATACTTACACTGAAGTGGTCGGTGAGGGTCTTCGAATACTTGAGGGCAATTTTGTGTTTGTGGCGAAACATTGCCATCTGCAAGAGGGACTGGCACTTCAAACTGCAAGACACAATTCAATGTTACTAAATTGTTTATCATTTGCATGATTCATTATTGCATATAAAGTTATTGTAAAGACAAACAATACAATGACGTTTTTATATTTTACGATTACAATTACTTCTTAATGCCTGACTTATGACTTTATTATACATTCTTGTGAATTTACAGCTTTTTTATGATACTGTATGGCTTTCTACGACTTCATTACATTTATGACAGACTTTAATATAACTACAAATATGTCATATTTAGACAAGAATAGATGGTTTTAAACAGAAATGAAGCTAAAGAGGAGAAACATTTAACCAGTTCTGTTGTGTAGCTTTCGCCCCGACATGTTGTGAAGCAGCTATTCAACAGCACAAAAGGTATAATCTAAAACTCACCATAAAGCAAAAAAGTCTTTTTCTGCAGCAGTAGCAGAGGCATCCACTGAGTTTCTAAGTTTCAGTACAAACCTGTAAAAATGAAGCATATAAGGGTTTGTCTATTGGATGGATGAAAGTTATCAAAAGTGCAAACAGTAATGATTAATGTTATCGTACTTGAGCAGTTCCACTGTTTCTGCAAACATAGTGTAGGAAGACGTTGAAATGTGTGGATCTTTCTCCATAGCAATACCACTTTCGACAAAGAACATGGCCGCATCCAGGTAGTTAAAAGCTTTGATCAGCTTATCTGACTGCAGAGATAGACACATACAACAGTTTGGTTATATGTTTCTAGTATCATCTGGTAGAAATGTGCAGTAATACGAGTTAATAACCTCGTAAAAAAAAACACAAATAATTTACCTCTACATCTGCTTTGTGCTTCAGTTTTTTGGCCTCTTTTATGTAATGCTTCACTGGATACTGCCTGTAGGTGAACAAAGCTTTATCAACAAACCACACTAAACACCTCAAAAACAATACAAGTTTTATCATTATGAATTGCTAATACTGTCGCAACAATTTCCTTCAAAACAAGAATTATACATTTAGTTTAACTCAAAAACATGTTAACAAATAAAACTCCAGTAATACCTTTTGAGAAAATGTGGGATTGAATTAACCCAGATATTTCGATAGAAATTGAAGACATAAATTTTTTTTTTGGAGATTGTCCAGACAAATGAAAAACTGTAGTTTAGAACAACTTGGCAGCTCCACAGAAATCATTGTTTACCTCCCCTCAACTCTGAGCAAGGGCCGTCTGCTCAAAGCTCCCCTGGGGGTCTGTGAAGATGATGGGACAGCAGGGGTGCTCTTTTGGGGCTTCTGCTAGGATTGAAGGGCAGATGAATGGAAACAAATTGAGAGCATTTTTCACTGGTTACAATCCCTAAAACCATGAGATCGTTCAGAGGCTTGCCTTGGGGGGGGGGGGAAAGCTAAACACAAAAGATTGGTGCTTATATCCCGTTACCTTTTCAAAGTGTGGTTTTTCGGCATGCTTTCCGCCGCTCTTCTTGTGCTTCTGGGAGTCCTTGCTCTTTGCTGCCTCCTTGCTGGACTCCTGGGGCTTCCCAGAACTGCGTTTGTTCACCTTTGGGACTTTAGCAGGGTCTTTAGCAGGGTCTTTGGGTGTCAGAGGCTGCTGCATAGGAACAGTTTTTTTCTCCACCTTTTTCTTTCGCTCCCCGTCTGCTTTTGACTTGCTGGAACATCTGTAAGAATAGAGAGCTTGTGTTATAAGACACACGTGACGTTATCTCCGTTCAAGAAACATACAAAAGTAAGGGATGCCTCTGGACCTACTCTAGTTTGACAGAAGCATGACTTGTTGATGAGGTATTCTTGTTTTCCAGCTTCTGTTTCTTCCTGGGATGAGTTGAATTGTCTACCTCGACCTTGAATACAACAAATCACACATTCAAATACATTTAAACATTTTTTACATGAATGCTAACTAGAACAGAATGGGACCCACATATTTCTCACATTTTGAGATATACTCTTTTTGCTGCTTTCGATGACTTTGTGTGGTGTAGAAGCATCACCACCCCCTGCATGCTGCTCTACGACCAGTGCTGATCTCTTTGCATTGTTGGGTAACTCCTGGTGGATGTTGCAGGTCCAGGGAACTCTTGAGAGCAGACTTAGATCTATTTTCACAAGCAGGGAGCTAAAAGGCTTCTGGGGTTCCAGAGAACTCTTGATCGTGTGCCCAGTTTTCTCTGAGTGTCTTTTGCTTGTCTTGTGAAGAACCTTGGATCCCTTTGGGCAGAGGGTCTCCAACATTGGTTTGCTACAACTGACTCTAAGTGGCGGGGCGGGGGTCAGCTGGTCAGCCTTTGCAGGACTTTGTGTTGGGCAGGAGCAAGGGTTAGGATATCGAACACCACAAGATGGACAATGAACACACAGTACCACAGTGACTTCAGGATCTGATCCCGTCTTCCGCTTGTCAAGTGACGTGTGTTTAGAAGTCCTCTTAGCGTCTCTTTTAGTCTCGCTGTTGTTCTTGCTTTTCTTGCTGTGGCCTACTTTCGTCTTAACCTTGGGTCTATCTGTAAAACAGGGGTCTTTGCTTCGCGTATCGACCGCTTCCTCACACTTCACGTTGATAGTTGCTTTAGTGTTTACTGGTTTTGAGGAGTGTGTGTTGCATAAAAGTGTCCTGGAGATGTTCAAATGAGCAGAGGGGGATTTGTGGCCACTTTGATGGTTATAGTTGTCCTGAGGGCTTTCACTGTGATGCTGGGTCAACTCTTTCTGGTTAGAAGAAGAAGGTTTGGACTCTCTGTAGGGGTCGACCACCTCTGCACTGAGTGGGTGCTTGGAGCTTTGAGTGGGCGGTGGCCGCTTGTGAGCGGGGCTTTCATAGGGATGTGAACAGCTTTGACCTTCGGCGCTCGAGTTCTGCTGGCTGGACCTGGACTGGATCCAGTTCCCGAGCTGCCAATCACCATGGGTCACTGCTAGAGGTTCAGGCTAAAAAATAAAAAATAAACAAACAATGCGATTAAAAAAAAAAAGAGAGATAGAGCTTACAGTTCAGAGAATGCATGTTTAACAGTTTCCCCTGCCATTTATTGAAATAAACAAACAAAAATATCAGCAACGCTCTATGTAATTGGTTGTTACATTTTAAATGACTTGCGGTATTACTCTGATAATTACATAATGAAAAACTAAAGTATCAGTGATTTCACACAGAGGCGTTTAACTGCCTTCTCTGTTTTGTAGATAAATGTGAGAGTTTTTAAATGTGTGTATGCAGGCAGAAATGCATGCCAAAATGTAACTGTGGGTGTTCCGTGGGGAGATGCAGTGTATCAATCCAAGTAAATGTGGCAAGCAGCAAATTACCTCGGTTTTAACAGAGATGCTCACAGGGGGTGGAGGCGGCTCCTCGATGGTGCTTTCACTTTCCGACTCTGATCTTGAGCTACACTCTGAGTCACTGGAGCTGGCCGGCTCTACCCCTCGGGAATGTGCTGCTTCAAGTGATCTACAGCACCCACACAGGACACAACAATAACAACATCACTTTTCCAGCTTCTCAGATCTGGGACTGTTCTTTGTCATTTACAACAGTAATATTCTGGCGGTTTTGTCAATTTATTAAATAAAACAAGCCATTTGAATAATTTCCCTTGGGCTGAGGGAATTACAAGAGCAATATTCATTATTTCCTATAAAATGTATATAAATAGACTTACTGGCTACTTTATTATTAGGTACACCTGCTCGTTAACGCAAATACCTAATCAGCCAATCACATGGCAGCAACTCAATGCATGTAGACATGTATAATGTCTTTATATAGCGCTTTTCCTGGTGCTCAAATCGCTTATGCTCAAGACGACCTGGTGAAGTTCAAACACAGCATCAGGATGGGGAAGAAAGGTGATTTAAGTGACTTTGAACGTGGCATGGTTGTTGGTGCCAGACGTCCCTGGTCTGAGTGTCTCAGAAACTGCTGACCTACTGGGATCTCACGCACAACCATCTCTAGGGCTTACAGAGAATGGGTCGTAAAAGATACAAATATCCAGTGAGCGGCAGCCAGAGGTCAGAGGAGAATGGCCAGAACGGTTCAAGATGATAGAAAGGCAACAGTAACTCAAACCACTAGTTACAACCAAGGTATGCAGAAGACCCTCTCTGAACGCACAACACGTGGAATCTTGAAGCAGATGGACTACAGCAGCAGAAGACCCCACCGGGGGCCACTCCTGTCAGCTAGGAACAGGAAACTGAGGCTACAATTTGCACGGGCTCAACAAAATTGGAAAAATGTTGCCTGGTCTGATGAGACTCGAATTCTGCTGCGACATTTGGACGGTAGGGTCAGAAGCATGGATCTATCAGGTTCAGACTGGTGGTGGTGGTGTATGGGGGATATTTTCTTGGCATACTTTAGGCCCTTAGTACCAATTGAGCATGGTTTAAACGCCACAGCCTGAGTATAGTGGCTGACCATGTCCAACCCTTTATGACCACATTGTTCCCATCTTCTGATGGCTACACCCAGCAGGATAACACGCCATGTCACAAAGCTCAAATGATCTCCAACTGGTTTCTTGAACATGACAACGAGTTACTGAACTCAAATGGCCTCAACAGTCACCAGATCTCAATCCAATAGAGCATCTTTGGGATTTTGTGGAACGAGAGTTTTGCATCGCGGATGTGCAGCAGACAAATCTGCCGCAACTGCGTGATGCCAACATGTCAATATGGAACACAGTCTCTGAGGAATGTTTCCAGCACCTTGTTGAGTCTATGCCACGAAGAATTAAGGCAGTTCTGAAGTCAAAAATTGATCCAACCCGGCACTAGCAGGGTGTACCTAATAAAGTGGCCGGTGAGTGTAGATACAACATTTGATTATTGATAAAATATTTAAACTGATGATTGATGCAGATGTATTGATTAGGAAATAATGATTAGTTGCTCCATTAATGAAAAAACTTGGAAGTTGTCTAAATGGCTGAATTAACAAACTGCCAAAAGCCTAATTGTCACTTACGATGATGAGCTCTGCTGGATGAGCTGGGATGGATTTGCTGGAGGGGACTTGTAGTTTTCTGGAAGAAAATAGGGGAATTACATGTCATGAAAAACTTTGAAATGTTTATAGTATTCAATTCACACAAATTATTAAAACAGACTCTTTATCTAAAGGCTGTATGTACAGCAGATGTTTCAAAGCAACTGTCTTTTACCCACATCCTTTACAGGCAAAACACTAACCCTGGTCTGCATGCTTGTTTGGGATGTTCTATGATATAGTACCAACAGGTATATTAATGATCATGTGTATCCTGGTTTTGTGCCTTGATTTTTGATTGCCTTTCACTTAATGACTCACTTTGTACTGGACATGAAGAGAGACTCGCTGCTTCCTGTGAAGACAATGAAACAAACGCACGCAAGGGTCACACATTGGCTTTATTTAAGTTTGCACATGGTTATCTTCATGTACACTTAATTAATCAATTGTGTAATAATTGTTACTGTATATGCAAACAGATCTTTAATTACCAGGACTTAAGGCCTTCAAAAAATCATCAATCATCCTCAACTTTTAAAGTCTTACCTTGGCTGGGAACGGAGACTTGGAGGGTTCTACTGAGCTCGGTGAGTGTATGGCTGTCAGGAGAGGAGGCCATGAGTGGGTCATTTCCTGTATGGTGGGATAAAAAGAATGTTATATGCAAGGAGCCTGAAGACGGCCCAACTACAACACAGGCATCACTCTTCATAAAATAAACATTATAGCAAGCAGGTGTAGCAACTGTAAATGAGAGTTGTAAAAGCTGGACTTACCCTCAAGATTTCTTCGACACATTGAACCTCATCTGTCCTGGTCTGTAGAAAATAAATGAATAAATGATCTATCCAAAACAGTGAATAAACCTTTATGCAATTATAACATGACGGACATAGAAAATGGTAAAGGGCTAATATTTCCAAGAGCAAACCTTTTAATGGTATTTCACAGGTCAAATAACATACAACATAAAACCCCCTTCAGATTGTTTACTTCTTGCATGGGTTTGATGCAACTATATCTCACCAGAATAGAGATATGGAGCCCTACTTGGGAATTGGCCAGCTGTTCTTCATCTTCAAGCCTGCATTATGTCAAATAATCTCTAGGTATACTGTAATTTGGGGGGAATTGAAAACACTGAAAACATTAAATACAACCATACCACATTAAAATCAAAGTGAAGAGATATATGCATTTCAGTGTTGTCCAGCAGAGAGCAGTAGAGACCTGCAGAAGCACTCACATTCGTTTTCATGAAGAGATGCAGTGGAGAGTTTGGTTTTAAAATGAAGCCATTTAAAATTACAAAATAAGAGCAATATCAAGGTTCCACCGTTTTGGGGCAACAATTGAATTTTGACATTCACATGAAGACCATATTTATTATAAAATACAAAAATATATGTAATTGTTATTTGACCATTGGTTGTTCCATTTAAGAAAGCTAGTTTAAGGGTTTATTTTTAAACTAGCTTTAGTTTCACACCAGAAGGTTTACACTTGTGCGAGAATTTAAAAAAATGGCGTGCACTGGGACGTTGGTTCTCTGACCCATTAAACCTGTGTATTGACTTGTTTAAGGAAAAACACATAGTTGAAAGCACATTACTAGTTTGGAGGCTAGAGACATTTGTGATTGTACTTTATATCCAAAGTGTTTTATACATGGCAAACTGCAGATGTGGATCCTAATTTAGGAGCAAAGGTTTAGTAGGAATATAAATAATTGCCTGTATAACCTGCAATGGATTAGTCAGAGTAGCGAGAATAGACGCATATTTAGCACTGCTGTGCTGCTGCAGGACTGTAGGGGGAGCTGTGTCGTGCTGCAGGTGCAACGCCTGTGTGTGTCTATTTATAAATAGAGAGGCAAAGTCCCTCCCTTTCCGGGGGACCTCCATGGGACCTTATTTCGGAAAAAGTATGTATTGAAGTCAATGGGGAGAGAAAGATCATCTTTCGATCCCGTTTGAATTGTGCCACGAATTACACATATGATGTTTGTCAATTTAAAAGATAATTTTGCAAGTCAAAATTAAATAGAAGTGTCCTAAAACTGTGAAGTAACCCTTTTTTTTGTGTGAAACCGCTCAATGAACTACATCTCCCATCTCGCACCACACACCAAGACGGCCGTCACGTTGGCACATTTCACTTCTTTCTTTCAGAATGAGGTGGCAAGTATTAAAAGAGGTGAAAAGTATTAAAAAAGAGGTGAAAATCCTTATAAGTCTGGGCATCTTGAGAGCACAAAAGGGGAGTTAGTCGGTTCAGTAAGAGCCAGCATGCGGGAACGGGATTTGTAGTCTTTCTAGTTGCGTATTGTTCATAGTATTATATTTCAACAGTTTTACGACAAACTGTGACTTTTCTGACGTGGAAATAATTTTTTAAGATTAACAAACATCATATGTGTAATTTGTGGCACAATTCAAACGGGATCGAAAGATAATCTTTCTCTCCCCATTGACTTCAATACATGATTTTTCCGAAATAAGGTCCCATGGGTCGGAAGTAGATGGGCGGGACTTCGCCTCTATAGAATTGACCTGGTGTTCAGCCAAATTCTCCCAAACAAATCAAGCCTTAGAACTTAAGGTGCCTGAAATTTTAAATCAAGAATATATGTTTTTTAACTGACTAACCCTAACCCTATGTTCCAGATGACACAATCCTCTCATTCCACAGTACATTCATAGCCCAGACAACAGTGCTGGGAAATAATAAGTAGGACTTCCCTTGTTCCATCACTCCCCACATTCACCAATCACCGGACCACCAAACCAGAGATTCAGTGTCAGTGACATCTCAAGACAATTTTATATTCCAAATATACCAAGTATCCTGCTGTCTTTACTATCCTACTACTATAACACTCCTTGTTGTTAACCACCAACTATGTGCAATATATATATATATATATATATGCTGTTAATAACTGCAATATATACCTGGCTGCTAAATCCTCAGAACAGGATGTGTTTTTTGTAAATTGTGGTTTTTTATACTTTAATTTTCTTTTTGTGTGCATGCTACTTAACATTAAGCTGTCTTTGGCTCTTTTCTGCTGTAACAATGTACATTTCCCCTTTGTGGGACTAATAATTCAGATTCTTGTATTTAATAGGAACAACCAGGTTCTATAGAAAAACCAAATTCTTTGGATTGAAGGAATCCAGTCCTGCAAACTCATGATTTATTTTCTTTAAAAGCGGTCTTTAAAGAAAACACACAATTTCCTGAAGCACATGGCCGTAGTTGGTTTAAATTACAGTCTGACAGACTGAGGCCAGTTGATGGACGCTGCTATCCTGGAAATGGTGTCAGGATTTTAGCTATGACACTATTACTAATGATATTAAAGGAATACTTTAACATTTTTGTAAACACACTTATTCTATTTCTTTCCGAGCATTAGATAAAATCAATACCACCTGAAAGCTTTTCACCAATTTAAACCTGGTTAGAATTAAGACTAAAAACAGGGGAAATACAGCTAGCTTGGTTTTGTCTAAAGGTAACAGAATCCATCTACCAGCACCTCAAAAGCTCAAAGGGCTGTAAAAGCAGAACTATTTTTAGACAAGCTAGCCGTTACCTCCTGTTTTCTTTCTTCATGCTAAAATGAGCTAAACAGCCATTATACAGATAATATCATGTCTAATAACAGTACAGCAAACTAAGAGAATATATTTACCTCCAAAAATGGTGGCAGCAACTTGGTTTTGCCCAGCGCAGATTTGTTGATTATCTCCGGTAGAGGTACATATGGCTCTGGTGAAAGCTTCAGCCTAGGTGACTCGCTGACCACATGGTCCTGACCATCCATGGGCCGCACATACGCTGTGGGTTTCTGGGTCATGACTACGCTGGGCGGCTTCAACGACAGGAGTGAAGGGAAGGTCTGGGAAGGTAGTGCGTTACCTTTGTTTGCTTGAGGCAGAGATGAATCTTTGGGGGACTGTTTCAGGTCAAATGTGGAAACATCCATGGCGTTGTCAGACTCAGGGTGGTGATCTGTGGAACCTTGAAGTCTATCAAAGGTGTCCCTAGTGTCCGTGTCATAGTTATCATGGTCAATGGAATGTGGGAAGGGTGGCCGCTTGGCATCAGGAGACTGATAAGACATTTCCTGGGGAAGGCTGACACACTCCCTGAGACCTGAGTGGGCTTCACTCTTCTTTTGTTGCTGTGCTGAGAGGCCGAGCTGACTGTGGTTTAAGGACCTATTCGAGAAAGTGGATGAATGTCCATGCTGGTTAGGAGGAGAAGGGGCAGTGGACGTCCTCATGGGCTGAGAGGAGTAACCGTTACAAGAGGGGGCTTTCTGACTTGGGATGGACGTGTGGACTTGGTTAAGGAATGGAGGCTTGGCTGGTTTATCTGTGTTTGGCTGAGCCTGATCTGACTGTGAGAAGGTTACATAAGTAGGAATGGGTAAAGGCTCAATGGCTAAGGGACAGGGATTATTCACATCTTCAAAACTACCCAGCATCCTCTGGATTCGATTGGAAAGAGTATCCCCTTTGTTTGTCTGCGTAAAGAAAGGGTAAACACTTTGTTAGAAGAAATATATCGGTAGCAATATGTAGAATTTGGTTAATTAAGACAAACAGTAGGTGGAACAAACTTGCTTTTGTTTCAATATCATTTGCCATTTATTTATTTGTTCCAAATAATGTGTACGTCAAATTTAAGAATATCTCTCTTGACACTCTTCACACATTGGACTTAAAATGCAAAGGTTATGGTATTGTCTTTGACAGCTTTTTTTTGTAAAGTAAACATAATTGTATAGCACACTACATACACAACAACAAAAAACACTAGAAGGTGAAAGGTTTTATGTAAATTTTAAGCCAACAATACAGCACACATACAGAAAAGTATCAATTTCCCTCTGATAATGAATAGAGTCATTTTGATCCTGAAACTGTTGCTTTTGAAAGAAGTGAAAAATAATAATCTTTGTATCAATAACATGAACAGTAGAAACCCAGTGTGATCATTAGAGCAGGCAAGTCCTGTAGTGTGGGTCTTTACCTTGTATGGTTCCCTAAAGAGTGGCACATTCTCAGGGTTGGGTTCTTTGGCTGGGCTTGTTTCTTGGTTCCTCTGTTCCCGCGCTCGGAGGCGAAGACGGTTCCTTTCTTCATTGTATATGCTGTAGAACATTCAAAAGAAAGAAAGATATTAAGTCAGGATTGCATGTACAAGTGCATTATTCTAACACTAAATGTGATGACCCAGTTCAAAGATGCAGTACGTGCCTTGCTGACCAAAAATGTAATTGGTGACCAGTGACCACTAATAATTCCAACCAATCTTATAACACAGCCATATTTGTTTAGGCTATCTTTGATTTTATCAAATAAACCACAAAGCATTGACTCACTCCGGCTGATTCGTATGATGAAAAAAGGTTTTGGTTAACGACACGAGAACATTTGAAAGAATAACAATTGATGACATCTATTCACAGCCTTATGTACCCAAGTGGCAGAGAAGCAGGGTCTCATGGGAGAACTCAGTGCCCATCATATCACCAGAAACGTCAGTGCAATTAGACTTACAGACACCATGAGGAGTCCCCACACATCTGTTCCTTTTAGTCCCTAAAGATGACATGCAGCCCATGCAGACATCACATGGATATGACTAGTCCAAATATAAGGCCATGGGTAAAAATAAGTTGTTCATTATAGTAAATGATATTCAGAAACAACAAGGGGCCTCATAGGGTCAAGACCTGTTTAACACATTCAAAAATACTGAAGTAAATTGAATGTACATTTGGAACTAGTAATTTTCCCAAAACAGTGTTTATCATCCTCACTCACAGCAACCCCAATGGGATGCTTCCATGGCAACAAGTGGAGCACAGCTTCGGGTTTAAGCCAAACAGATGAGCACTTACTCATTAATGGAGCAGAGAGACTGGCCAAAATACAAGAACAGCACCAACTGCCCAGTCACAGTACCACCCAGGGGTAAACCAACACATGGTGCCTGCCGGTATTACGTTACACACTAGTGATCCAAAACAAACATGAAAAATGTTGTTGAAGATCTAACACAGAGAAGCAAACAACTCACAGAATAAATTAGAATAAACTCCTGCAAGGGATAGCAATGCTGGGGTTAGTGTTTAATAAGGGTGAAACATAAACTGTGCAGAAGTAGCCCCTCCCCCCCGCCACACAGGTATAATCTTAATCTCTGTTTACACGTGCACATATTACACCAGGCTTCAACAGCACACAGGTAGACTGCATGTCTGTTTAATGATCATCAATTTAGTTTTCACTACTTTGTGATTAAATTAAATTATGGCATTGTGAGTAGTTGTATTGTTTGAACAGGAATTGTATTTCCTATTTAAACAATATGGTTTGAACAAAACAATATATTGTTTAAGTCAGGAAGGCCCATCATTCAGATTTGGAGAAACTCGCAACACAGAACTTAAAGCAACGAGACAAAAGCCAAGAAACCTGAAGACTAAAATCAGAACTGCACACCTAAACAACCACCAAAGGTAACCCCACTTCACAATATGACTAGTCAATCCAGTCGTCCTGTTAAACGTCTGACATGTGAAAACAGTAGCACATTTAGGAAGTTATGAGAGCTGCTACAGGGGGTGACCAAAGTTAAGTTTCTGCTAGTGGTATTAAGTCAAGTTTTAATTCATATGGAGAGCTTCAGACATCTGCAAATATGCATAACATTCACTCATGTTGATATTGTTGCACAAAGTGGATATGTACCACTTTATGGTTGCAACCAAGAATTACTTTTATCATGGATCAAATCAGAAGATTATTTTAATAGATCAATAATTGTGCGGCCTATACAACGTCAGAAAATAATAAAGAACGTCCATCCCAGTCTCCAGAGAACAAAGTTTATTTCTTTGTTTTGAATATAATAGCAGGACATGTTGAAGCACCTGAATAGCATTCTGCAATAATAAATATGTTAAGATAAATTAAAAAGTTGGATGTTGTTTGTCATTTAATTGAGTTAATAGTTGAAGCCACATGATTATAGGAGAAAATAAATCATCATGTTAGGCATCATTGTGCCTCAAATTTAATATATTCTGCTCAGATTATGATTTAGTGGTTGAGTTGAGCATCATCTCTGTCCTCTATTTTTAGGAAAATAGCTTTCTGTTGTTATCCAACTTTTAAACCAAAGTTCCAAGTTGGTCAAAACACGGCAGCTAAGAATTCACTGAGGATCACTTGTAAGAATGCTTTATAAATTAAACATGTGGCTGTTCGTTTAAAAAGAACAGCTTGTATACACACAGCAGTCCCTTTAACCAGCTGGTAGAAATCACACCAGCCTGCTTTTTCCAGCTGATTCCACCTCTTCCTCGTACTGCTTACCAAAGCCAAAATCCTCTATGTTGGTTTACCATTAACAACAACAAAACACCCCTTTAATTCTGATACCTTTGCAGAGTTACAAACTTAAAGTTTACTTTGCTCAAGTGCGCTGCTAGTTATCAGACTAACCGTATCTAGCTAATTAAGGTTAGTTACCCGGTCAGGCTGAAGAGCTAGCGCCCTGCTGTTAGCAGCTAGCTGTGTCTGCCTACCTCGGCTGAGATGCCATGGTGCGCCTCTCTCAACAACCAAAGTTGGTTGTCATGCGTTTCTGACAGTCTTCGCCAAGCTGTTCTTCTCACTTGGTCACATTTTTCTTGTTTTACCGCTGAAGAATTTGTTATTTTAAAGGGCTGTCAGGCGGCCGTTGGTTGATAGTTGCTGCTAACCGTCCGTGTTTGGGTCGTCCACTCTCTCTCTTTCTCCGTCTACTGGATTGTTCTACTCTATTCAGCCAGCCGGGGGCCAAGCTCAGTTTTATTCACTCAATGCACTTCAAGCTTGTCACAAAAAGCGTCTAAAGCAGTCGTGTTGCTATTCTATTAGTAAATACAACAAATTTGTTCGGTAAGAACTTTATTATTTAGCGTTTTTTCCTAAACACGACAGTTTGTCCAAACTTTACACTGTTACCCCTGCGTGACAGACATGGTACAGTCATCTGTGTTTGGTTATGTTTTTTTACAACAGAGTCCTGGTTAAAAGTTTTAATAGCCGATTTTTAGGTTCCTCCCGTTTTTTAAATGTTATTAATTGTTCGTGACTGTTGACAGATGGTGAAAAAATAAGTATCTGACTTTAAAATAAGAAGAAAGGATAGGTAAAGTTTCACACAGAAGGCAAAAAAACAGAGAATTGTGTCTCAAAAGGTGCAGTAAAGGGTAGCATACTTATTTGTAACCATTTGTTTCCTGCTTTAAAATGTTGAAATATTGTTCTATGTAATTTGGTAAGATGTTACAATATATTGGTTGATACAATGATGTTATTCCACTGATCAGAAAGGTGTTCTGTACTGCATCTCCCTTGTCATAATAATATAGCCTACTAACATAAATAATTGGCTCTTGGTTTATTTGCCCTCTAATAACCGAATCAAATGTAAACATGAATGAATTGAATTCAAGGAACATCTCACTCTTTTGTGATTGCTTTTTGATGCAATACCTTACCTTGTTCCCAGCTAAAAAGTAGGACCTCGGAATCAAGCACCTGCCCAATCTCCTGAAGCAGATCATAAAGTCTTCTGACTCACCATGCCACCTTGGTGCAAGTTCTGGTGAGTGGGTTCAGATTTGATGACACAGAGCTCAAATACTGCCAGTGGTTGTGATGTCTCTTGTAGGTTTTATAGCTTAGCCTGTAGACAATAAAGCAGACAAATCAGTTTACACATTTAAACCAGACATGTAAGACAAACATGCTGATTAGATTTGTCACAAAAGAATCAAGCAGCCTCTGTCTGTGTGTTCCTGTTGTTAGAGCTTTGACACCAGCACGTGTATGATTTAATGCAGGCTTAAAGCACACGCTGTGCTGAAAGGCCTGTTATTGGACACTCACCCCGGCTGGTTATGTTATGCTGCTACTGGCCGACTTCCAGCAGAGCACATCGAGATCATCTTGCTTCATTTAGTGGAGGCTCGGGACAGCTGAGAGGACCATGTCACTTGCCCAAAAAAAAGATGTAACTGCTGGGGCCTAATGATTATGACATGCAGTATGTAATACAATAGAATACATTAAGGATATGTTCCTCTTGAGCTTGTTTCTATGCACACTAGATACTAGGGTGTGCTGTTATAGACCCCGGACCATTTATCAGTCCCTAAAGAATGTTTTAATTATGTATTTATTTTGTTAATTCATATTTTTGGGAATATTCATTTTTGTATGTATTTATTTAATCACCTATAGTTTAAGTTGTATACCTATTAACAATATCATGGGTGAGTAAGATATACAGTATATCAGTCCAATGTGTGTTCAAAGTAAAACACTTTAATATATTCAAAAGAAACATGACCTTGTTGATCTTTTGCACACACACATACACACAAACGATACTGCACAGTCACAAGTGTGCAGGACTGAAGTTTGAGACTTTTAGTAGTTTAAATGATAACCAGTAGGTGGTAGTAGTTTCCTGTAAATAGAATAGTGGTTCCAAACCTCTTTCCCCTTTCTACCATTGAGTTAAATTATGACTGTACAATTAACCAAATATATCTGCAGGAAGATTGTGTAAAACAAGGGATTTAGATACATTTGGAACAGAAAGAGCTGCAATTTTTTTTTTTTTTATGAACTCCTAAACTATACATTTGTCTGAATGATGTCTACTGTATAAATATATGTTTAACATTTTAACTGATATAACTAATATGGTTATTTTATGACACATTTCGTTGCTTTCCTCCCTAATGCTTGGCGATTTTCCTAGGTTATTCTAACCGCATACCTTTCTAAAGCAGGACAGGGTGTTTGGCAGGGAAGGAGGGTATTCAGTTCCTCACTCTGCCCTCAACCTGTTAGACTTACAAAGAAAGTGTATATCATAAATAATAATCCAAACTTAGAAACTAGAACAAAATAACCGACATTTGAATAAAAAGCTCTTTTTTTTTGGAAAATGGATGAACATTACATTACCAGAGCAGCACATTCTCACATAAAAGTACAACAATATAACACTAGTCCAATCTAATTTATTTGCATTTTTGTATACTTACTGATATTCTGTTTTGCAATTTAATGTAATAGTAATTGAGATTTCAAAAGCAGGTTCTTGTTTAGCAAAAATGTACATTTATATCATTGAATGAATCTCAA